TCTAATAAAAAACCTACAGGGTGTTCCATTTAAACAAACCAAGAAAAATTATTTTCTATTTTAGAAAGTTTGGCGAAGAATTTTGAACACCCTGTATGATTGAATATTTCGATATTTATAGCAAAGTAAGTATGGACCATCTAAACTAAATACCTAATATAATTTTGAGTTTAGGACAGTTCTTGTATTTGTTTATAATTTTTTTAAGCAATGTTGAAAAATATATATTTTTTATTTATTATTTAATATTTCTGAAATTACCGAAATATATTTACTCATATCTTAGGATTATGTAAAGTGATCTGAAAGGAAGCCAAAAATACAGCAATATACAGGGTGGTCCGTTTTAAAAAAATATCCTTATCCACTCACACATTTTTGAGCCACCTATAGAAGTTAAAATATTTTCCTGAAATACATCTTCGTACATACTTTAGGTTTGCCCTTAAATAAAATTCTCAAATTTTGTATTCTAGGAGCTACAGATGCCCGACGCAAAAAAACTTGAGAGAGAGAGAGAGAGAAAAACTTTTGTTTTATTTAGTTAAATTTACAAATACAGCTTCAACAGGCCTAATTTAGAATAATCGTTTTCCAAACAATTTATAAAGCATATAACACTAAAATTATCCCATAAAGCAATCTGATTTATTTGAATTAATGACATTACCCTCATACGTAGGTGTTATAAGGCCGTTAAATGTTTCTTTAATAACGCGGAAAGTTTGCGGTTTTATACTCGGTTACCATGACACTCGTTTTAAGCTTTTACCTTTTATCGTGGCACGAAATGAAGTTATAAATCGTTTTTGTGAGTGGATATTACGGGAAGTTGTATTTGCGTAACCGGATTATTATTTTGCTGTTATAAAGTTAAATGGGGAAAATTTTGTTTTACTTCAGATTTATTTGAAATTATTTTTTTTCTAATTCAAGCTAAGGCTACAAAATTAAAGAGTCTTATTTAAAAAATAAGAATCATTCTTTATTTCTGGCTAAATTTCCTGCAAGGAAAAAAAATGGTATTCAACTTTATGATAAGGCTTCTTGCTGTAAATAAACATAACAATTTTAATTCGATCCAAAAAAATGCCTTATGTTGGATTAACAGATGTACAGAGGGAAAGAATTATTGCACTCACTGAAGAAGGAATGCCCCAATGTGACGTAGCAGAGATAGTACGCGTTACCCAGGGTGTTGTATCAAAAACATATGCAAGGTAGTTGGAATTAGGAACACACAAGGACAGGCCCAGACAAAGTCGTCAAAGAGTCACAACTGAACAACAAGACCGCCTGGTAATCTCAATGTTTCTCATCCAGAGCTATAAAGACAACTTCTGGCAACTACAGGTGTGAACGTTTCAGTTGAAACCATAAGAAAAAGGCTTCGTACTAAAAGGTTGTAGTTATCTCGGCAAAATAAAATTGACCGGTTAAATTGATGCCTTTAACATCAAAACTGGACTACTGAGAATTGGCAAAATGTTTTTTCCCATGAGACAAGAATTGGCCTAAGATCAGATGACCATCGAATTCTGGTTCTCAGAGCTCCAGGAAGACGAGCGAGACTCCAGACTACCAAATTTGTACCAATATATATAGGAAGGACTGTAATTCTTTTGTTCTTGTTTTGGGTAGGTATTATCCTGGGAGGAAAAACTCCATTGTTATCACTTCAACAAACTTTAACGGATCGGAGATATGTTGATTTAGTGCTAGAACCAATCGTTAGTCTTTGGAGAGCTGCAATGATAATTTTAACGTCATGCACGGTAGTGCACCTTCTCATACCAGCAGAGTGACTAAAGAATGTCTTGAAACGGAAGGTCTCATAGTTTTGGATTGGTCTGCATATTCGCCAGATCTAAACCCTATCGAACGCTTATGGGGCCAGCTCAAAAGTAGGGATAGAGCTCGTCGAAACAATCCAGGAAATCTAGCACAGCTTATTGATGCAGCATTAGCAGAATGGGAAAACATACGCCAAAACAACGTTGATGATTTAATAAGAAGCATGCCAGAGCGGATAGAAGCTTGCATAAAGGCTAGAGGTGACAACAACCCCAAGTAGCATCTATCTGACTTCGAACTAAATCTGACCTGAAGCGACGTCAGACTTTGTGCTAATTTAGGTCGGGTGCTGGTGATACGACCGGTGACGTCGCTTTCCTATTAAAAGCGACGTCGTTGGATCCGAGTCGGTAAATCCAACGATCTCTCGACGTACAAAATAACAACGTACCATTTTTATTAATTTCCCAACGTCGTTCCCACGTTGGCTTGCACGACGTACATATACTTGAACTAGCCCGACGTCTACCCGTTGTCCGAATAGGATACGTCTCACTGATAATCCCTAAAGTAACGTCCAATTATATTTTGTTGTATTTTATGTTCATATTTATAACCTAATTTATACGTATCTCTATTTACGTCCATAAATACAACCCATTAAGTAGCATTTGCGACCTAATGAACATCATGGATATAACCTAATAAAAAGTTTTTGTAAACATACTTAATTTTTTTATTATGCCTAAAAAAACACTAAATAGGCATTTAGACATTCATCTACATTTTACAGAAAGAGGTTGAGGCTTTTGCAAAATAATAATAGTAGTAGTGATGTCTTGCCTCCACCCATAAATGCTTTTTATCCGGAAGAGATGCTGCATTACATTGGTGCATCTTAATTTCATTTTTTAGCTTAGGAAACCCCAGCAGACCCCATCCTCCCCCCACATGTTAGGTTAGGTTTAAAAAAGTGGCTGCCCATTTTTTTTAAGGAGAAAACAAAAACTAAAATATAGTTGCACAAATCCACAAATCACTGATATGCAAAGTGAGGTTACGTGGCGTACGTTGGAATTATATACGTCATAATACGATTGCCGGTCGTCCGGTTTGATGACTTCGGTCGTGTGAGACGACTAATGTTGGAGACCCGGTCGGAATTGGTATATTGGTAGTTCATATTAAGTCGGACACAGAAATCCGGCATTCTTAACAAGCATCCGATTGTCAGCCATTTTAAAATAGTTTTTTGTTTTTAAAATTTATATTCACATTTCGATTTCTAGTAGAATAATATTGATAAGGTTGAGTTTGGGGGGAACCACAGTACAGTTTTATGATTAAACCAGCTAGAAAATTAAAAAAATATTTTGCGAATTACTTTTTTATAGATATTTTTATTACATAAATCTACCTTATTTTGAAGGCGCTCGTTGTTTTCCGGAGTATTTTAATCAGACATATCAAAAAAGTTACTTCCGTTGACAAAACTGATGTCTGGATTAATGTTTCACAATTATTATAATATGAAATTAGATAGGCACTTATAGTTATATTCGAGGAGTGATTATGAATTCATTTGTAATTAGGTAGTTTGGTTAGGTTTTTATGTATTCTTGGTAGCGAATATGAAACCAAACGTAACGTAAGTGTTTAGCGACGAATTTTAAGTGACTAAAATCCAACGTAATACGACGTTGGTAATTGGTAGGATTACATTCCCTATTAGGTCAGATACCGACGTCGAGGCGACCCGAATCTGTATTCCCCATTTAGGTGCAAATAAGGGTCGTCAGGCGGTCGAACCGACGTTGGTACCCGACGTCGGGTTTATTGAACGCGACGTATACCCGACGTTAGATAACATCCAAATGCTACTTGGACGTTTATTAAAATTATCAATTTCCTTTTTGCTTTTGCTTTTTGACTTCGTGTTCAGAAACCAAAAATATACCATTGTGTTTATATTGGGAACGGATTAATTTTTTTATTGCTAATATAGATTAATTTTCATTAAAAACATCACTGGTAAGGACTGAGTTTTATTCATAAACACACAAAATTTTCATACGTCTCAAAAATTATGAAATAAACTGCCCGTCACACAAATTAAATACCACAGCCATTTTTTTAACTCATTTTCAACCAACGAGTTGTAACTTTGAAAAAAATGGACCAATTTTGTTGATTTTTTTAGCATATTACAGATTGTTTTTCGTAGATTGATCTGATTTTTCTAAATTTTGTATCAGATTTAGTTTTCTATGACATACAGGGTGTGAAAAAAAGAAATGTAATTTTTGTAATTTTTGTGTTGCTGCCATTTTGCTAAAAAAACAAAATTTAACTAGAATTATAAGTTCAGGGTATAGCTAAGACTAATATCTCGGGACGTATTTTGAATTTTTACGATAACTCATGGGGAATCAATTTTTACTCTAACTTGTATTTTTTCTACCTTTCTTAAGAGATATGCTAACAAAACTGAAATTAACTTTAAAATTGTAGGATATTCGTTACTTTTACAATGTGAAATTAAAAAAAATGATTTAACTAACGCAGTTTAATACAGGATCTCTTAAAAATGCGACCAGCAAAAAAGTAAAATTATTTTTTTAATATTCTGAACTTAACAGCCCATAAGCCCTTTTTGTGTCTAAAAATCTGTAGTTTAGCTGCAACTTAGTAGTTTTTTTTTAATTTCACATTGTAAAAGTGACGAATATCCTACTATTTTAAAGTTAATTTCAGTTTTGTTAGCATATCTCTTAAGATACCTAATGTGCCCTAATTATGGAGACGCCTCTGGTAACAGGACGGGGAAGATGAGACGTTCCTCTAAAGTTGTCACGAAGAAACGATGTTATAAAGGCATGCAAATTGCTGACAAATCTGAAGATCTCAGAACTGTTCGTGCACATATTTATTATTAATGCTGGCTTTTATTATTCATGAAATCCTCTTACTTGTTTTCTATTAATCATAAATAATTGATAACTGTTTCTCTTTGTAAATTATAATGGAGGAGATTTATTTTTTATAAAGAAATTAGTAAAGTTCAGCATTATTTTTGGACGATACTTATTTTAAAGTAACAAATAAATAACCATAAATTTTTTATCCCTTATCAAACGGTTAGTCCCTGCTAAATGTTGAACTATTTTATTGATTTTAAGTAAATTATTAATATAATTATAGCTTACCTTTAATACTTCATGGACGTTGCAGTAATGACAGTCATTGGCTAATGCGTTAAATAATTATATCTGAAACAAGAAAGGTATATTAAAGTAATGCCTTTAAAAATATAATTATTATTTTCAACTATACATATTTAAATTATTATAATATGAATTTAATCAATGATTAAAGAATACAAGAATTACTGCAGCAGAATTTGTGATGTTAGACGCCATTTTTTTGTGGCTGTAACGAGTTTTTGAGTCATTAGCGACAATTTTGCAATTTTTAATAGGTTTTGTGTAGTGATCTTTGTATAGACTTTATTACAGTGGTGATTAGTTGTTAAACTTTTAAGAAGTGTAAAAGCTGCAGCGATAAGAAAGAGCCAGGAGTTACGATTTATAGGTAAATAAACAGTCCACTCCACCTTTTAAGCATTTTTTTATTGAATTGGATGGAAGAGGAAGAGGAAGAGGAAGAGGAAGAGGAAGAGGAAGAGGAAGAGGAAGAGGAAGAGGAAGAGGAAGAGGAAGAGGAAGAGGAAGAGGAAGAGGAAGAGGAAGAGGAAGAGGAAGAGGGAAGAGGAAGAGGAAGAGGAAGAGGAAGAGGAAGAGGAAGAGGAAGAGGAAGAGGAAGAGGAGAGAGGAAGAGGAAGAGGAAGAGGAAGAGGAAGAGGAAGAGGAAGAGGAAGAGAAGAGGAAGAGGAAGAGGAAGAGGAAGAGGAAGAGGAAGAGGAAGAGGAAGAGGAAGAGGAAGAGGAAGAGGAAGAGGAAGAGGAAGAGGGAAGAGGAAGAGGGAAGAGGAAGAGGAAGGAAGAGGAAGAGGAAGAGGAAGAGGAAGAGGAAGAGGAAGAGGAAGAGGAAGAGGAAGAGGAAGAGGAAGAGGAAGAGGAAGAGGAAGAGGAAGAGGAAGAGGAAGAGGAAGAGGAAGAGGAAGAGGAAGAGGAAGAGGAAGAGGAAGAGGAAGAGGAAGAGGAAGAGGAAGAGGAAGAGGAAGAGGAAGAGGAAGAGGAAGAGGAAGAGGAAGAGGAAGAGGAAGAGGAAGAGGAAGAGGAAGAGGAAGAGGAAGAGGAAGAGGAAGAGGAAGAGGAAGAGGAAGAGGAAGAGGAAGAGGAAGAGGAAGAGGAAGAGGAAGAGGAAGAGGAAGAGGAAAATATTATAATTCACAAGTTGTAATTAGTAATTACACAATTCTATTATATTTTATATTATTTCAAAAGCAAAAACATAAAGGGATACAGCGTAATTTTGATATGCAGTTTCAAAACAAAAAGTGCTCTTATATTTTTCAGTTTTCGTTGTCAGCCGCGGAAGTTTCAGTGATTTTAGTGTTGTCGGATATTTTTATTTGTGAAAAGGAAATATTTCTTTTTGCTTACAAAACTAAAAGTGGCAGTTTTATTGCAAGCGTTTGTCCATTTTATATTTTACTTTTTTCATACCTAAGACAAATATACATATATTGAAATTTTATAATTCGTTTTATGTAAAAAATGTTAGAAGACAAACCTGTAGTTGACATACCTAATTGTTAGGTAATATATTCCATTTAAATGTAATATATTACTTTACAATTTAAAAAATGTAAATTTAAAAATATATTAAAAATTTTTAGTATGCGAACAAACACGAGAGGCGCTTTTTATTTACTTTCATTGCTTAACATGACAGATGAAGTTCTAAAGGGGGATGTTTTGTGCTATTAATCTTTCTGAAATGTAAACGTTGTAGTATATAAATATTATTTAAAACACCCATTTATTCAAAACAGTCACACAGAGGTATATAACATCTAACTGCATGTAAAGTAAAACACAGTAATTTAACTCTTTTTGAATAGCAACGTGACATACGTTCTGCCCACTACATGTTTAATAGACTTAGATTAAAAGTTGGGTTTTATGTTTTTTGTTTTTGCGCATTGGAAAAATAATTAATCCCTCTATGAGTCAGAATGCGACTGTAATGCAATACGTTGGTTTAAAGTTTTGGTAACTTTACTTTTACTATTAAAAATGCTGTTGTGATCGAAAAAAAACAGCGTCCAGTTGTCCAATTATATTTACAATTTTTTTGGCTTGTTTCAGGTACTTTAACTCGTCAGCCTGATTATGGAGTCACAGATAATGGAGGAAGCTTGTATCAAGTTGCTCTATGCGCCCACCCAGCGCACAAACAATATGCCGAAGTAATGTGCGACACGAGTATTAGCAATGGATTATGTTGGACAAGGGATAACAAGTTTATGTTTTACATTGACAGTTCCAAAAGGAATATTGAAAAGTACGAGTTCGATCTTAAAACTGAAACTTTAGGTAATAATAAAATCAAATTTTTCATAAAATAAAGTTTAGATACTTAATATATCAATGAAAATACTTTTAAAATATACCTTACTATTGTCCATGTATTTTGTAAAAAAATTGTTTTTATCCTTTTCTACTAACTGGAAATTATTACCACTAATTTTGGCGTTTTGAATGCATACATTGAAATTAGAGGAAATAACTTCTATGCTAATGGCAACCACTAATTTATTCCACTAATTTCGAGGTACTGAGTGACATAATACTCAATTATAATTAAATTCTATCTAATTTAGAATACATTTTGCGTTGTTACCTACATATTTTGGTTTTTGCATATTAGGATGTATTAGTTATCATAACCAGTTAACAGAAATGGTATTTCTAATATTTTTTGGTAAATCCCATATTTGCTTTATAGCTTAAAATTTTTTAGGCGAAAAGAAAGTTATCTTTGATCTTGAAAACTATCCAGCAATTGAGGGGATTTTAGATGGCATGACCATTGATTCCGAAAATAATCTATGGGTAGCTACTTTCGGAGGCTCGTCGGTAAGTCCACTTTTGTCAATACTAAAAAAATTGTGTGTGCACTATATGCGCATATTTGTGGTGAAACAACTATTAAATTTGAGAATTTGAATTACATGTTTGAAAAAATGACATATAATGCTGTTTTAATATACATGTTAATATACAATTTTTTTCTGTAATCTGTACATTTTCTGTTTCCTCAATAGACTGCAAATTTTGTCGAATACCACCCAAAAAACACAGTAGTCCAAGATTAGTAACACAGTAGTACCAAGTTTTTTAAAACACAGTAGTACCAAGTTTTTTAAATAAAAAATATTGTAATATTCGAAAAATTCCTTCTTAAGCTTCTTATCGAATCTCTACACCCTAGAATTAACCTGTATGCCAAAATTGAGCTTCTTACGTTGAGTGGTTTGAGCAGGGTCGTGATTAATCAGTATGTCAGTCACTTCAGGATTTTATATATTAGTATAGATTTAATTCGTATTTATAGTGGTTTCCAGTAATTTTGTTAAATTATAGGAATATTCTCGTTGATTATTGGTTTCAAATAAATATGTCCTGCAATGAAAATGCGAGTTGCTTAACTCTAATAATTCTAATTCTGAGCTAGCAAATTAGCCAAATGCTTTACTTAGACCGTTATTCAGAAGCTACAAACCTATCGATGAAAATATGCATGAAATCAAGGTTGGTACAAAAATTAATAATAAAAAATAAAATAAATTAAAATTAAAAAAAAATAAATTAAATAAATAAAAAAAATAGGTTATTGGTTATTATTACGTATTAAATTTAGTAAAAATTGATGAGGATCAATAATAATTAATGTCTAAATAATATAGAAGGATTTAGCCAGCAATTATGGTAGTTATAATGAACATAGTAAAACAAAACTTTTAATGGCATTTAGCTTAATAATATTTAGATTAGTCCTTATGGGAATGCTGAAATTATCTTAGTTTATAAAATATTTACGCACTTAAGTTATGATCGATACGAAATAGATCAGAGGTTTGAAACAAAAAGGACAATTATTTACAAATGAACATATAAAAGTTTTATGATTTTTTTGTACTTATAATTAGTGTAATTTCCTGCTAAATGATCCTCTTTTTTTCGTCAAAAATAAAAATACATTATTTAATTTAATGACGTATATAAGGATTTTTATTAGGAAAGGTCATATAATCAAATAAAATTGGTTCTATTTTAATTCTGAAAGTAAAATCTGAATTATAATAACCTCAAAATCAATTAGAGTATATTTATAAAAAAAATAGCGTAATAAACAACTTGGCGTCGTGTAAGTATTGAGCTAATTATTTTAAATTGTCAAAGTAATTAGTTTAACATTATTTTATTATTTATTGTAATACTAAGGGCATGAAAGACGATTAATATTTGACACACTCGTAAAAACAGTAATGTCTTCATCATAATCATCATCGTCATCATTTTCAACTTATTCAACCATTTTCATTTATGGTGTAGCCTCCCCCACATTCAGATACTCTCTTAGTAGTTGAGCCCATTGGTGTCTGTTGTTGGCTATGCGGGCCCAACTTATCCCTGCTAATTTCCTAATATCATGGTCCCATCTCATGTTCGGTCTTCTTCTAGGTCTCTTATTTCCTCGTAATATGCTGTGATTTTTCTGGTCCATCCGTTGTCTGTTCTTCTTGCCAGGTATCCTGCTCATTTCCATTTGAGAGATTTGACTCCGTGGATGACATCTGTTACCTCGGTTTTTTGTCATATCTACTCTATCCTTTTACGGTCTCTCTTGGTTATTCCCAGCATATTTCGTTCCATTGAGCGTTGTGCGACCTGCAGTTTCCTTATAATGCCCGTTTTAAGTGTTTAGGTTTCGCATGTATAGTTCTTGACTAGTAGCACACGTAATGTCTTATACAGGGTGCTACAAATTCGAGGTACGAGCATTGGTATCTCAGAAAGTGTAATAGATACGAAGATGGTTAAATTGGGGCAAAGTTGCGCCTTGAGCTGTTCATCAAGATGTCATTAAAAAAGTTAAAATTTCCATTTTTTTCTTTTTTAAAAATTTCAAGGATTGCTGGGTGCAAATTATTAGATCGGACACTGAGAATAATATCTTATCTTAATTATCTTTGCTCATCTGGATATTATTTATTTGAATCTTTCAATTTGCTCAATTTTCTTTATTCAATGTTAATTAGCAATGATCAATATTGTTGCGATGAATATAATAAAATTAAATAATTTAAAAAACAGAGTCGGACTTAAAAAACAGAGTCGAAAAAAAAAGTATAAAGTGTGGCATATCATTGTACTCAGGAGAGCGAGTTCTTTCAAAATCTGAAATAGAAAATGCAGGTCCGTATTTAAAAAAATTAGGTTGGCATCTGTATCTCACAAATTATCAGCTGATTTGAAAATCTAAAAATACTATCAGATAGCCCTAATAAAGTGGCTATAAGAAAGTGCCATTAGTTTTTTAATTTTCTAAAAAGTATCGACAGGAAAAAATAAAATTGATTTTCAAACATATCCGTTTTTTCCAAAAAATTCAGCAATCCTTGAAATTTTTAAAACTCTTTTGATGGCATCTTGGTGAACATCCCAAAGCGCAACTTTGCCCCAATTTAACCATGTTCGTATCTATTACGGTTACCGAGTTACCAATGCTCGTATCTCGAATTTGTAGCACCCTGTACAATACACTATCTCTGTAACTATATCGAAAATTCAACTCATAAAAAATATCTTTTATAACATATATTGTTCAGTACTAGCATGTTTTTTACATTAAAATGTGTGATTTTAGTTAGATATTTGATTATCTCAATCTTATCTCAACACACAACCTTGGAATTGTGAAAATATTTACTGGTCCAATGGGTAATTTTCAGCATTTCCTAGTGATTTTTAATATGTACTGGATTTCCAACTTTCACTGTAAGGTATATAAACAACAAACAACATAATATACAAACAGGGATAGGAAAATTTGGGTCGATAACTAAATAGCATCCTTCAGGTGAAAATCTACGCTATCGAAAGATGCATACCACTTCTTTTAGATAGGAACTATCGGAAAGAAGAAATAGTCATATTATCCGATAGCCAAGCAGCATTAAAAGTGGTCAACGCAGTAACCATCAATTCGAAGTCGGTTACCCAGTGAGTAAAGTTTTGTCACATTTAGGGAACATTAGAGAAGAGTTACGTATCTGCGTTTTATTGCTTCATATTAGGCAAAAGATGGGCCTGGTAACGTGACAACAACGCCATCTAGAACATATTTTTCTTAAAGGAATAAAATCCTCCCTGGGTAAATAATACCTAGAGAAGCTGAACAAATTAGGCAAAGAAACTAGTCCTCCTACTCTGGGTACAAGCTCAGCAAGGGATTTAAGGTAATGAAAAGCAACAAAATTCAGCGATCCAGCTAGAAAGGGAGCGAACACTCCACTAAACCAGAACCGTTCTGATTCCCAAGTGGAAACCAAATTAAAGCAGAACCTGGAAGCCTCCATCCGTAACCTGGAATGGGAATCCTCCAACGATCTAATTTCTATGTCACGTTGCTATTCAAAAAGAGTTAAATTACTGTGTTTTACTTTACATGCAGTTAGATGTTATATACCGCAGTGTGACTGCTTTGAATCAATTTTGCTAAATGTTGGTGACTGGTTTCAGGCAAACCGATTATGCCTGAATGACACTAAAACAGAAAGAGTTATTTTTTCCCTTAAAACAAAATATAAAATAGATTTCTGCAGTGTCCGATTTCTGGGAATAAAATTTGATACAAAACTGAGTTTTGAAAGTCACGTAGACTATGTGGCAGGGAAGGTTTCCATGAGCATGTATGCATTTCGGCGATTGGCTAAGTGTGTGGAGAGTGATGTGTTAGTAGCTACCTATTATGCTCTCATTCACTCGGTGCTTACTTATGGAATACTTGTTTGGAGTCACTCAGCTCATGCTGACAGACTGTTTGGACTGCAAAGAAAAGCGTTGAGAATTTTGTCAAATTTAAGTTATCAAGCAGATACAAAAAACGCCTACAAAAGAATGGGAATACTGACACTTCCATGTTGCTATTATCCTCCAGTGTCTTTTATTTGTAAAGGATAACCTAGAACTGTATACTACGCATGATGAACAACATAATTATGCAACCAGAAACAGAATGAATATAAAGCCTGTTCATTTGCGCCTCGGAAGATCTTGGAACTGCCCTCCTTCATTGTGCTCCTGCATGCTTTAATAAATTATCTCAAAATGTCAGAAATTTACCAAGACATCAATTTAAAACGACAATTAAAAGCTACCTTCTAGATATGGCTTATTTTAGTGTTACTGATTTTTAGAAAGCAGTGAAGGGGTATAGCGTGGCTATAGGTCAAAACATTTATATTGTGTATTTATTGTTTTTTTGTGTACTTTAAATTACTGTTTGATAATTGTTGTGTTTATTTTATAATTTTGCATTTTACAAAATATGACTTTGTGTAAGGATACTTGTATCTATTAACATGCAATAAATGATTTGATTTGATCTAAGACTTACGACCAAGAAAAATCAAAGATTTTCCTTGATTTTATTAAAAACAATCTTCGGATTGTTACGAGGTTTTCAACAGGATACTATCTCCTGATCATCTCAGTAGATTGAAGCTAAGAAACAACGGCGAATGCAGATTCTGTGTGGAAAATAGGAAAACACCAGAACACCTTATCACTGAGCACGCCCAGACGACAACCCTTCGTGCCATTAACTTTGGAACGATTGATAACGGAGATAGAGAGCTGACCTCTGTAAAACCGTCTCAGATACCGGCTTTTATCCTGTTATAAGTCCTGCGACTGTATCATGAGTTATAACTCGAAAAGGGGACACAATAGATCTATAATCATATATACATCTACAACATATTCAAAACAGATTATACCTTCCGATGTTAATATAATTTTGAAACTCTAATTTAACTGCATAAATTATTTACAATGTAACAAAGAGCAGCAACAATGTTGAGGTTTGGATATTCCCCATCTATACAATGTAACATTACGTATTGCGGCTTCCGACTAGGCGGGCTTCAAAGCGTTTCATAGTTGCATTGATTAGTGCCGATTATTTTCTGAATGACAGACACATTCTGTTTATTGACGCGAGCGTTTCAGTTTATATGCAGCTTCGCGTTTGGTTTGTGTAGTAGCCTCATTTACAGTTCAATAATACCGTATTATTATTATTAGGGAATTCAACGCTTGCCCTGTTTTAGATTTATTTTATAGCAGCGTCCACACTATGCGAGAAACAATTCGAAACATGTCAATGTCGCATTTCGTCGCCCAACTTTGATGCATTTTGATTTATTTCCAGTTGTCTTGACCTACTTCGGTTTGCCTCGACCTACCTTTCGATTCTTAAAAGCGCCTGAAAACTACTCGTGAGGAGGGCGAGGGGGATTTTTTTGCGTTTTTTGTTGTATCGTTCAATTTTGTTTCGTTTTGAGCTATTTACAAAACGTGGCATTATCTGTACCCGAGGCAAAGGATTTTTTTTCATAAAGTTCAGTAAAATAAGTTAACCTAGACGTTTCTAAAATAGCTGTTCTTACGGTGATATTTCGTTAATTACACTTCGTTTTATGTTATATTGATATATATTCCACAGAATTAATATTTGAACACGCTTTTGTTTACAAGCACATATGTAATACTGACATTACTGACTTTTAAAAAATTTGAAAGTGTCAAATTATCTATATTTCTTTCCTCTTCCATATCCCTCACCCATTTCCCTCACTCGGTTTTTCTTATTTCTCGCCTCATTTAATTAAGCAAAATACTCTTGTAATATCTTTATTAAATACTTATCTAATATCAACAAAAATAAACAAGAAGATTAACAATAATAATTGAAGATTTTAATACATTTTTTGTTGAAGGTAAAAATGCTAGACTTCTTTGGCTTAAAACCTACATTCTGGCATTTTAAAAAAGCGAATTAATTTTTATTTGTTTCAGATATTAAAAATTCATCCATGTAGCGGCAAGCTTCTCAAAGTTGTCAAAATGCCCGTCAAGTACATAACCTCTGTTGCTTTCGGCGGCAAAAACTATAACGTTTTATATGCCACCACATCCAGATTCCATATGAGTGAAGATGAAGTCTGCCAATCGAAAAGTTCCGGGGCAGTTTTTGCCATCACCGGACTGAAGGTTGAAGGTGTTCCTATGTTTAACGTAGATTATAGTGCACCCGATGAAAAACTCTCGTTTGGAGAAAGTGGCGGTGATAAAAAACAGTGTTTGGGTTAATAAAGTATTTTGTGTGCGTCTCAGTTTGTGTATTTCTTTATTCTTACGTTATTATCACAGTAGAAGGAAAAGAGTAGTTACACTCTCGCAAATATTTTCTGCCAGTTTTTACAGTCTGTCGAATATCGGCAGATTGCAGAGATTGCAGAGTGATCATGTTTGTGTCAGGTTAATTTTCTCATGACATTAACCTACTATAGTCTGTGAAACGAATAACTTTGAATTTGATAATTCCCGCGGGCTAGTGTTAATTTTATTAGGTTAGCAACTTGCGGCCATGCTGACGCAATGCCGCACGGTGGGGTATTAGCATGAAAAAGGTGATCGAAATTTGAAAAAGCAAATGTGTTTAAGATTTCCCAAAAAAAGATAAATGATAAGTTAAAGAATGTCTGCCATGAATGGCGTTGCTATGGGTGTGTTTAGTTGCATTCATTTGTTTCAACGAAACGTCAAAGTTGTTACTTCTCACAGATAAGTGGTAAATGGCTAAATTTTATGTTTAAAATTATAAATTGCTGTTGTTCTTGTGCTCTTTTTACGTTTATATTATTGTTTTGATTGAAAATGGCTCAGCAAGCTGCAGCTATGTATTCTACAAAAACGTATTATTTATTTTGATATTCTCTATACTAACGATTTTTTTTGCAACTAAAAGTTAGGCGTTCAGAAAATTTGATTAAATTTGTGACATTTCTATTATACTTAGAGATTTAGTTGCGCATTTCGAAGAATTCAGCATATTGTCTATATACGTTTTACTTAGTAAACATTGGGCTTTCATACAGTAAAATAAAATACTGCGACTTTTTGCGACTTTGCTGATAAAATGCGAAAAACATTCTTGGTTTCCTCTAATTTGCCAATCAGTGATATACTAATGCGAGGTGTAAACCGCGATGGCATTGTTGTGTACAAAGCGATCGCATTAGTGCCATTAGCAGTATAGCACAATTTGGCATTAGTAGCGACTTTAGTGGTATGGGCATTGCTCGCGGATCAGTCGTAGCATTAGTAGTATTAGTTGCGATATTACTACTGGCATTAGTGGCATTGACCGTGGAAACACTGGAACAGTGATTTTTTTTTATTTTTTAGAATCGACGAATTACCCTTTATTTTGTTTATATTATTTCCTCTTTAATTGAAAATAGCAATAATTTATATAAGGTCTACATAAAAAAATTTCGATCAACTATCTGTGTCAAATACCCCACTGTGTGCCGTCTCTAATAGAACAGCCTCGGAGCGAGAATTATGATGTCACGCTAGTTAGATACTACGGATTAATAAATATGTTGTAGAATACACGGAAAACATAATTATTCCTCGTATTTTTGGTTTGTATTTTAAAAATGATATAGTTTACATGAAATATATACATAATATACAGTAAATAAATACAATATATATATATATATATATATATATATATATATATATATATATATATATATATATATATATATATATATATATATATATATATATATATATATATATATATATATATATATAGTAATAAATACTTTGGCAAATAAACTATGAACCATACAAATGCAGCAAACGTTTTACAATATACAAATAATGAATAGGTAGATAAGATAATGGGTAAAATGTAAAATATATTTTAAATTTTGGGGTTTGAAAATCGATCTAATTTAACAAAAAACACTCAATATCTACTAATAGTGATGTATTATTATTAGCATTCACAAAATTTATATGTATATTTTGCAAGTATCAATGTTCGAAAAATTATATTTGCAAATAATACAATATCATAGAAAAAAAGGCGTCAGCGATGGCTATGAAATAAAGATCGCTGTCATTTTATATGTAATATTATTCTAAAATTTTTGATTTTCTTAGGATTTAGGTTCGGGAAAAACGCTGATTAAATTTTCATATGGATTTTCATTATTTTTTTTGGTTAACAAAAAACGTTTTAGTATAACCAAAAATACGAGGAATAATTATGTTTTTCATGTATTCTACAACATATTATTAACCCGTAGTATCTAACTAGCGTGACGTCATAAATCTCGCTCCGAGGCTGTTCTATTAGAGACGGCATTGGTCTGATATTTAAAAATGTCAAAAACTGATGACATTTTACTTTTGACAATTATGACGTTTCGTGTTGATTTTTGCAAGAAGAGGAAGAACTGTCACTTGTTCTATTATTTTCCTTTTCTATTTCACGAAAGTAAAAAGAGTTACCTATCTGATTCGTTCAGGCACTCAATTTAAAGAATATCAGTAACTTTGTTGATAGAGGGATTTTATATTTGCCATGTTGGTAAAAAATAACGGTCAAAATTCAAAGTTATTCATTTTATAGACTATAATTTGATATTACTTTCATTTAAACGTCAGTTTTTTATCGATTTTACTTTTGACACCATCATTGAACAGAAATTTGTTTGCTAGTACCGAAAGCACCGAAAAAAAACTGGAAGTCCCGGTTCCTTAGAGGCATGGTACCGAAATTACCGGTTCCGAAAAACAGCTCCGGTTCCGGAAACGCTATAACGTACCATAACCGTGAATCGCCCTATACAGCGTGAGTCTGAAATAAGTGCAAATATTTTTAGGGGTAGTATATTTTGGCCCCAGACATATGAGGATTTTTCTGCGCAATTTTTTTTTCGAAAAAAAATCTGGAATTTATTTTAGTTTTTAATTAAAAAACATAATTTCTTGATAATATGGTAACTAGGGTTCTTTTGAGATATCAAAGAAAAGTGATCTGAAACATTTAAAAAAAATCATCCCGATCCATCTCACACTTTTTTGAGCCACCCTATAGAAGTTAAAACAAAAAGTTTTTTTTATTCTGGGAGCTACAGATGCTCAACGCACTGTTGCCGGACCCTGTATAATACAAATAAACCGTAAATACAGCAATATAGCAATACAGCTCGCAATATAGTAAATTACAAAAATTGTCGTTTTTTCAGTATGTCTATATAAATACATATTTTTGTTTTTCCTGAAAATCGAGGCAAAATTACAGTCCTTTTATTTGCCCACATAAATATTAAATGATGCTGAACTTTATTGTTTGAAAATATTTCTTTTATTTGAAACAAAAAATATTCTTGGGCCTGTGAAAGTTACAGAGAAAATATTATAAGCCCATGTTTTTTTATTTCTTCTTTTAGAAATCCATAAAATGGAGATAAAATGTTGTTCCTGAAAAATATAGAACGGTAATGTCTGCAATGTTAAAAATTAATAATTTAGTAGTCAAAATACATTTATTTTTATAAAAGAAAGGCTTTCCCCCTAATATAATATTAGGGAAAAGTCGCCTATACCGGGTGCATCTCAAATATGAGTCACTCCAATAACTTTTTTATTTTTTCAGCTAAAAAAACAAGATTTGGTATGTTAGTATATGACATAAATTAGGAATGATTGACGTATTCAATTGTTTTCGGTCACTTCCTGTTTCACAGGAAATTACTATAACTTTTGATTTTTAAATAGCACCGTTGGGTTTTTTACTTTATTCGACAGAAAATGACACTCCGAATAGAATGCTATGTCATATGTCAACTTTTGACATTTTCGGATATGGATTATTTCAAATTGGAAAATGCGTTTTATAACGCCAATTTGACTCGAAATACGAAGTGTGTGGTATCAAATTATTCATAAAAAAATGCTTCTATTAGAAAAAATTGAGATATGATTAAAAAGACGATTTGGGCATCATTTAATCGGCCAGGACAAGACAAGAAAAACGTTAAACGATCAAATATATTTTTCCAAGGCTCCTTGATTAAAAATTCGTGTTTTTAACACAGCCACTTTGGCACTTTAGAAAAATTAAAATTTAAAATACGATTATATAAAATACAATATGGGGGGCCATTCTATTCAGAGTAATAAATAAAGTAAAAATATACCGAGGGTAAACAAATAATGAGCGCTGTGAAGCAGAGATAAGAAGGCGTATAGCAATGGCACGGACGGCTATGATGAGCCTAAGAAAAATATGGGCAGATAGGAACATAACTAAAAACACCAAAAAGACCCTTGTTCGATCTTTGATGTTCTCCATATTCCTATACGGGTCTCATGGACCGTCAAGAGCGCTGAAAGACACCGTATAGATGCATTTGAGATGTGGTGCTGGAGGAGAATGCTCAGTATCCCATGGACAGCTCGAAGAACGAACCAGTCAATTCTCAATGAACTCGGTATCACAGATCGATTATCCACCATCTGCCGTAGACGCATCCTGCAATACTTCGGTCATATCACTCGCAGAGATGAAGACAACCTTGAAAAACTCATAGTACAAGGCAAAGTAGAAGGCCGAAGACCCAGAGGACGATCACCATCAAGATAGCTTGACCAAATAGCAAATACTACAGTTTATCCATTTCAATGAAATCTCCGAGAGGCGGAAGATCGCCAACGATGGAAGATCAAAATCACCAGAAGAAGAAGAAGAAGAAGAAGAAGAAGAAGAAGAAGAAGAAGAAGAAGAAGAAGAAGAAGAAGAAGAAGAAGAAGAAGAAGAAGAAGAAGAAGAAGAAGAAGAAGAAGAAGAAGAAGAAGAAGAAGAAGAAGAAGAAGAAGAAGAAGAAGAAGAAGAAGAAGAAGAAGAAGAAGAAGAAGAAGAAGAAGAAGAAGAAGAAGAAGAAGAAGAAGAAGAAGAAGAAGAAGAAGAAGAAGAAGAAGAAGAAGAAGAAGAAGAAGAAGAAGAAGAAGAAGAAGAAGAAGAAGAAGAAGAAGAAGAAAGAAGAAGAAGAAGAAGAAGAAGAAGAAGAAGAAGAAGAAGAAGAAGAAGAAGAAGAAGAAGAAGAAGAAGAAGAAGAAGAAGAAGAAGAAGAAGAAGAAGAAGAAGAAGAAGAAGAAGAAGAAGAAGAAGAAGAGAATTTTAAAAATCAAAAGCTCTAGTCATTTCCGGTAAAACAGGAAGTGACCAAAAACAATTGAATACGTCATCAATCCTAATTTATGTCATATACTAACATACCAAATCTCGTTTTTTTATCTGAATAAA